CAGGGTGTGGGGAGCTTCCTGACCTGCAGATCTATGGAATATCTCCAAGGAACACAGAAATAATGTTTGCTAATTTTAATAGATATTTTCTGGATCGTATGTTAAACTTACTTCCAAGAAAATCAAACCCTTATCCCCACTGATTTGTAATACTATGTGAAAATACATAGAATCTATATGTGATGTGAGATATCTTCGTTACTTTTCTCTCATTGCTGAGACAAAATACTTGATACCCAAAGCTAATGGGGAAAGGGTTCATTTAGCTCACAGTTTTTGAGGTTTCAGTCCATAATAGGCTGGCTCCAAGGGGGCGTCAGAGAGGACAAACAGTTCATGGCGCCCACCTGGTACCAAAAGCAACAAGGGAACCTTAACAGCGTCTTTCTGCCCCTTCTATCTTACCCAGACTACTGGGCTTAGAGCAGTGCCAAACCAATCAGTGCACTGGTACAGCAACCACACACCCTTAATCCCAGCATCACACATTCAGATTCAGCCACTTCTCAAAAAAGTCACCTATGACCACATGAGGCTTTGGGGAGACAGCTAGACCCAAACCATGAGTGTGTGTGTGTGTGTGTGTGTGTGTGTGTGTGTGTTTAAAGCTTATATTATTTTCTCCTGAAATTGTTCATTTTTCCTCATGACTGGACAGAAATTCAATCTCAAATAAATTGACTTTTCAATCTACCTGCTTACAAAAGTAAGCAGGCCTCCAGTTTCTTAGTCTACCATGGAACTCGTGGAAAAGGAATGCTAAGTTTATAAGAACATTAATATGAAATGCAAGCCTACGTCTTTCTAAATTATACATTTTTATAACTCATTTATTTTAGTATTCATTTATATCATGGTTTATAATATGAAATGTGACAAAATAATTGTGCTGACTTATTTTAGCCTAGATTCCATTTAGTCATGAGGAAAATCCCGAAAGCTTAGAGGGAAAATAATTGATTTCAACTGTTCTTAATCCATAAAAATCACATCGAGTTGAAATGAGTTGCATTTTGGATATGAAATGAATTGGCAAACTGGTCTAGAAATGGCAAAATTAAATGCAGATTTTTCCCAATTACATTAATTTAGTGAGATTTTATTACTTAGGTCAGTGGCTCTCAATGCTGACTACATATTAGAATTCTTTGGTGGGCTTTTCAAAAAATACAAATGACTTCCCCCAGACCAAATGGAATCAGAATCTCTGGGAGTGGGTCTTGAGCAGTCAACATATTTGCAAATGTCCCATATGACTCTAATATCCAGCTAAAGCTGAGAATCGCTGATTTGGGTCCTACAGACACATGAGTGATTGCATGCTCTACGTTTTGAAGTTGCCATTGCAGACCTACTACCAGCAGATAGCAGTAGAGGGAAATAAAAAGTCAAGCCAGATGCCAGCCTGTGGCTGAGAAGCCCAGCCAATGCACATTGAGCACCAAAAAGGATTCTTTAAGGATTGATACACTTGTTAAAAATTAGTCTTAGTGATGTGTTTTCTTGGCTTTTTATGAAATTTTACTTGGGTCTGATATTTGGAAAGCTCAACACATGCAATTAAGACAAGATATGTGAAATCCCAGAAAAGGGTAGGAAGGAAAAGAAAATCACAGAAAAAAAAATTTATTTCCTAAAGGCATTTTGTCTCCAAAGCATAAGTTATTAGGAGAAATGTATCTGTCTATCTATATTTTATTGTATTGTATTTTTATCAAATCTTGATGATTTGATATATTTATACATTATGGAATAATTAAATCCAGCTAATTAACATATCAATCTTCACTATTGCTATCTCACTACTTCTCATTTTAATGATGAGAAGGTTTGAAATTTTTGTCTATCATGCATTATGATTAATTATTATTATTATTATTATTTTTTGGTACCGGAGATCGAACTCGGGTCCTTGCGCTTGCGAGGCAGGCGATGGAACCACTGGGCTAAATCCCTGGCCCTATTATGATTAATTATAATCACCATGTTGTATAATAGATTTCCAGAATGTGTTCTTTTCTTACTGAAACTTTTTTCCCTTTAACCTACATCTATGTCTATTTACATTTATATCTGTATTTATGCTTTAAATCATGACTTTAAAAGAATTATGGAATTTAAAGTTAAAAGTAGAGGAATTTTGATGCCACAAAAATGTGATCTTGAGCAAGTCAACCTGTGTGAACCTCAGTTTCCTCAACTGTAAAATAGAGTTCATGAGGGAAAAATATGAAAAGGCAAACCACTTTCAAAATCTGCATATGCACAAGTCTTACTTTCTTTAATTAAAGTTGGCTTTTTGGTATATTGGAATTTCAAGATCAAATCCTTCGCTTTGTTTTTTTGAAGGCCTACCACTTGCAGAACTCAAAACTATTATTTAAAGAGGAACTTGTTTCATTATCAAATATAGTTAAGAATATTCACCCCAAATGTGGCCATTGTTCTAAATACTTGTTCGTGCCTTGATTTTTTTCTTGGTGTTTCAACCATTAGCTAATAAGGAGTTAATGATTCACTTAAAGGTAACTCCAATAGGATATTATATTTTTCAGCAACTGGAAAGAGAACTGTTGCATTTTGGAGTCTGGCCTCTGGAGAGCAGCTGAGTTTTTAAATGTTTATATCCCAGGTGTTCCCACCCCAAAAGGCTTAATAAAGATTCTGATTGGAATTAAATTTATAATATGGTGACTAGACATTTCATTTTTACTGAGATGCAGTATAATCCCCTTAGAGTATTGCATTTCATCTATGTAAATATCTAAAATTTGCAGATGTCTGTCCCTGTTCCAGCAAATTGCAAAAGACTGTTGATGGTATTTGGCCTCCCAAGAACTCACAGATTTGTTTACCAACTAGATTCAGTATTATTTTCAAGCTTTGCAATCAAAATTGTGAGCTTCAGCAGTCAGCTGCTTGGGCATTTCATAACACATAGCCTTAAACTGATAAAATGTGACTCTTGTTTGTATACTTAATTCTGCAACTGCACCAAAGTACTGAAGAGCAGACACTAAGGATTCTCTATAATACAAGGAACATTGGATTTGGAAAGTGTGTGGAAGGCCATCTGATCTAACATTCTCATCCACAGAATGAGACTTAAAGATACCAATAAGTTAAAAGACTTACCCAAGTTTACTCAATAGCAAAATAAGAATTTGAGCCTAGGACTCCTATTCCCAGATCTGTTGGATGAATCAGTAAAAAAGATTAAGAAGCTCACAGAAGACCAGATGGTCTGAGAGGCTGCCACTGAAATTGAATAAAGGGTGTGGAAACATTCTTCTTCCCCTATTTCCAAGCACATATAGGATACCAGGTTACAAGTCTGTGTAGAACACATGGAAGCAGAAGTACACATGACACTGGGGGATATATAAAAATATATCCCCAAATATATTTGGGGATATATTCGCGGGGACGGGGGAGAGTTGCTTTACCTCAACCTGCCTCCAGTAACCAGCTGGTCAAGATCCAGTGCAAAAAATAGAAAAACAGGCCAGGGATTTAGCTCAGTGGTTTTGCCACCTGCTGCGCAAGCACAAGGACCCGAGTTTGATCCCCGGTACCAATAAACAAACAAACAAACAAACAAATAAATAAATAAAATAGAAAGACAAACTGGTTCACCAAAATTCTGAGAGGGCTTCTGGGATATATGCATATTATGGTGTGGATTTGAGTGAGACAGGCATCTGTACAAAAATAATACCAGGCAAGCATGAGGGAGATCACTGACTCTCCATTATTTTTAATCCAAGAAAGACTTGGCTTTTGCCTACATTATTGAAATTTGGAGCCAGAATAAAACAACAGCAAGAATGCTACAGAATTTGGTCTTGGCTTTTAAAATGCAAAATGGCCACACTTTGCTCTACTTGTCATAAGAAAGATCCAGCTTACTATGGGTGAAGTGCCCTTGCTGTTTCTTCATTCCTACATACATGGGAAGCACATGTAACTCTTCCTGGATTCAAATCCACACAGGGTTAGTATCTCATAAGTTGAAAGTCACATAAACAAAACAGCTTTGTAAACAATCTGTGCAATGTAGTGATTTGAGGGATTTGGCACTTAAAAGTTTACAAAGTTAAATATCAATTTCAGCTTAAATCTCAGAAGTAATAAAGACAGTGAAACAATTAGTATTATAATTCATAACTCTAGCAAAGACCCAGCATATGCATACTGGCATCATGCCTAGCTCGAGGAGCGTTAGTGGAACTCTAACACGGGATGTCCTTGAGGATCAAAGGATACAGTTTCTCTAACCTGAAGGCCACATTTATCCCCAAATATGGGTCTCAAGAGCGAAAAACTAATTGTATACAAGCCAAATCTGCTAGTGTGGTGGCACATGCCTGTAATCACAGTAATTGGGAGACTAAGGCTGGAGGGTCACCACAAGTTTGAGACCAGCCTGGCCTACACAGTGAGTTCAAGGCCAGTTTGAATTACACAGGGAGACCCTGTCTCAAAAACAACAACAAAAAGGCAAATCCTAGTTACAGACAGAATGGGCATCTAAAGCTAACATGTAAATTAGCTCAGCCTAATGGATTTAGTATCTAATACAAAATCAATCCTGGCCAGAACTAAGACTCAGTCAAAGATTAGGGATAGATGGATTATCCTTCCCTGAATGGAAAATTGCAAATATTAATGACTTCTCAAGCATCAGTTTGCTAAAATCAGTCAGGTGATCAAGAATTGAAATCTTAAGTTGAACTTCACATTGATTTTCCTAGAAGCAGAATGCCAAACTAGTAAAAATCAGCAGCAAAAGAGCTTGCTGAGTTCTGAAAATGGCCAGGATGGAGGTAGAAATATTTCAATGTAGGCAAAAGAATAATGGAAACCGTGCTTAAATAATTATGATCATAAGTTGGCCTTGTGGTTTCTGAAAGTGTGATCTCAAAGTACTATAATTAAAAACAAATGTCAACAAAATGTTCTCAGGAAGAGATGTGCAAACCAAACTGTAATGAACTCACAATTTTTAAACAATCTGAATGGCCATATCAGGATTCCTCAGGATGAAACTTGGAGGGAACTTCAAGATGACTTTCTGTACAGTAAAAGCCCAGCAGAGTAAATAGTAGTCTAGGGCACCAATTGCACCAGTCTGTGCTAAGCACCCAGTGTGCAAGAAGCTTTTCATTTATCATTCATAGCACCTGGAAAACAGACAAAATATCAGCCCACTTTATAGAGATAAAAGGCTTAAAGAGGTTAAATAATGTGCTTCTAAGGTGCAAGAGTTCTGACTATACTAAACTGTTTTCTTTTGGGTTTTTATAACATTTTCATTTCCTTTCTCCTGGGGAGCCCAGATAGCAGCCATGGTAATCAATAGCTCTTTTTGTGTTTGGATAATGCCCCTCCTCATATCCCATCCTCCCATCCTCACCAGCTGGTCAGAAGGACTACGAAGTCCTATCATGTTGTTCCCCTCCTTCCTTGCAGTGCCCCACAGAAGCAAAGACACTAAGCCACTAAGCTTGAGTAGAAACTGAGAGTAGAGAAGTAATGATATTTTGAAAGTATAATTTGAGAGAAATGAATATGAGATAAGCAAATTTCTGAATACCTTATAAAATTAAAAATTCCTCATCCCACCAGGAGATATAGGTTGAAAATGTGAGTGATTTCAAGAGAGCTTTAAATAAGTTCTTGGATGGTATGTTCCATTGGCTCATTCAAGGACATTGTGAATGTCTATGGGGCATCTCTATTCCTTTGGAAATAATAGAGCATTCAAATCACATCTCTCGGTGTTAATATCTAAGATCATTTTTTGAGGAATATATTTGAAATTTTATTTCAAATAGAGGGTTAACATCCATAAAACATAAAGAATACATAAAAATAAATAAACTTCCATTAGACAATTTTGTCTAAGGTCATTTTTATACTAGATGAATTATAGTTTAGCTTAGTTGGAAAATTTTACTTAACTTCTTTCACGTTCCTGTGTGTCAACACTTTTGGGAGGAAAATATCTCAAAATATGTACTCAACAGCTCTGAAATTCAATAAGCAATCATCAAGCAACTATTATGATTCAGCTGGTTCCTGGCTACATTTTTAGTTATCCCCAAAGTGTGGTAATTTCTTTAAGTATTTTTTATTTATTTAAAAATAATATGAGAGCTGGGCCAGGGATTTAGCTGAGTGGTTCCACCACCTGCCTCGCAATCGCAAGGTCCTGAGTTCGATCTCTCGTACCAAAATAATAATAATAATAATAATAATAATAATAATAATAATATGAGAGCTAATCAGTTAGTGGCAATAAATAATCAACCAACCAAAAAATTTAAGGCAATAACAAAATATGGATTATTATATTATCTTCTTATTCTAACTTTATTCACTGCCAAAGTTTGAGCAACAGGTTTAGATTTTGAATGTGTGGGTCAGGTCATTCCCAGAGCCTCCGACGGCCTTCTATGTCTCTTAGCACAGAAAGAACCCAGTTTCCTTGCACAGTCAGCAAGGCCTAGAATGACAGCACCACCGCCAGGACTGTCACTGACTCTGGACCCGCACCCCCCCACACACACCAGCTTCCGTATTGGATTCTTACACAACCCAAATGTGCTAAGCCTTTCCCACAGCAAGGTGTTTACACGTGCTTTTCCCCTCTTCCTCACCAGCTTTTTCTTCCTTTCTTTTTGCTAGCTGGATCTTTCTCATCTGCCAGCTCTTTAGAAAAATCAAAATGCAAAGCAAACATAACATGTGGGGTCTGTAGGTAAGCAGTATTTGTCAAAATCTATCAGGATTGAGTAAAAATGGAAAAATCCCTAATTTATCAACATAAGCCCTTATTAATAAAAAACAGAATTATTTTCTATCCAACTCTCTATCCAACTTTCTATCCAACTCTATCCAATTTCTCCATGAAATTTTTTAAAAATCCACTCAAAGTGGATGATTGATCACTAAAATCTTTTAATTCTGGATACCAAATACAAACTATCATTGATTTTTTTCTTTTCAGTTTTTAACCCTTCATCTCAATTGCTTAAATGATCCTATTTTAAGTTTTAAAATATGAGAATTTCTTTATTTTACTCCCACCCGTGAAAAATAGGTTATTAAGGGATATAAAATGGAAAGCCAGGGGATCTTTGGGCTGCTGTTTATTTGGTTGGTTGGTTTTTGCCTTCTCGGATGAGGTTTTCAGTTGCACTCAATGATGCTTTATCTTTCACCACATTATTATCTGGGTGTCCTCTTCCCATGACCCTTACACTTCTCTCCCCTCTATTGGTCATTTATTTTCTGGAAGCCTCTGTATATTAAGCCAACAGCAAAGAAAACTCAGTGGTTTGTGTTTGCATAGTGAGAGTGAGCCAGTGACCTGGCTGGGCATTAGATCCCAAAGTTTTTTTCATCTCAGATCATAGTACTATTAAGTCGGCTGTATTTCCTGGCCCTACAATATTCCAACTGTGGGTATTGAACGGTGTGCCTATCAGAAGGCAGCTTATGCTAGAAATTCACTACAGAATGGTGTGTTAAGATAGTGTAACAAAGCTACTTCCTTTTTCACATTGCTTTCAGGTGTGTTATCCTTACACATGTTATTTTCTTAAACTACCACCAGATGGGGTTCCTAATTCTCTTTCTTTTTCTTTTTCAGTACTGGAAATTGAACTCAGGACCTTAGGCTTGCCAGGCAGGCACATTGCCACTGAGCTAAATCTCCAGCCTCCTAATTCTTATTCTTAAATGGGTGATTACTCATCTTTTATGATGACCAACTCTGTGGCACAGCAGCCGAAAAACTCCTTTCTTTTTCAGTATTTGTATATACATATTCTTCAGTGTTTTAGGATACTTCTAGCTGAGCAACACCCACCTTTCTTTCCTTATGATTCCAGTGCTACCAAAACTGCTACATTTTATGTTTTATTGGGAGAAAAACAGCTCTGAGTTCTGTGGATGATTCTCACATTTTTGCTGACATCAAAAATTATCTTAAGCTTTTCCCTTTTAGAAACAAAAGAAAAAAAAATCCTGTAGATTATAAATTCCCAAACTCTCACACCCTACTCCTAGAAAGACTGACTTAGACCTAAAAACTTTTCTCCCTCCCCACTCCTTCCTCTTCTTCCTCCTTCTTTGTCCTCTTCCTTCTATCCCCATCCCACTGATCTTAGACAGCCTAGAATGAAGAGCTGTTTTCACCAATCTTGTCAATCTTGTCAGGCTGTCTCTGAGGTCATTTCTGTCCAAACAGAAAGAAACCCATGAGGAGTTTAAAAGTCCTTCTTCAGTGAACTGATTCTGCAATGGGAGGTTTCTGGATGCCTTAGGAACAGATAAAGGTAAATGCTTCATTTTAATTTTTTTAAATGGCCTTATTTTCTTTCTACTTCTTAATCCTCCTCCTCTTTTGGTTAATTTAGGCAGATATTCTTTTCTCCTCTCATTATCCAACCCTATATTTTTAAGAAGATGAAGGAGGTACATGTCAATTGCTAGCAGAGTGTATTGATTAGGAATAAATCACCTTTCTTATTTTTAAAGATATGTAGGCATGATATACAATAGTGGAGGAATTCAGTAGCATAGAATGTTCAGATCCTAGCAGGGAGCATTCTTCCCCATCCTACTCCACCCCCATGATGGGAACAGGCACAGTGTCCCACCAAGTTCAAAGCCATCACACACCGGAGCTAAGGAAGACTTTCAAACAGCCCCAGTGGAAACCTCCAGGAACTGATTATGAAAATTAGTAATCAGGGCAACTCACAGCCTAGGAAAGAAGCAGAACTTTTGAAGAAGTATTCGGGGAACGTAAGGGTAGCACAACTAATGTAAGAGTTTGCAAACGCAGTCAAAGCTATTTACAAGCAAGGCCTTTCATCGCTTTGTCAGTGAAGCGAACCAGATGCCCTCTTAGTCTTGACACTAATCTGAGCATTGAGATGGCAGTTGATTAACAACATCCTCTCTCCAAACCAGGAAATGATGAAAAATGTCTCCATGGACCCTTTAGGGATAAACAGAAGAAAATGCTCACTGTCTTCTGGACATTTCAGCTGTTGGAATGGAAAGAAAGGAGCTTCAAAAACAGGCTAACCATCAACAGTGGAGTTTGAATCCTGAGTGTCTTTTACTCACCTCCTGGAAGTAAAAGGTACTATCCTGGAAGAATAACCCTGGCAGAGCAAAGAGAATGAACTTTAAAAAGCTATTCCTTTCTCCCCCAAAGCAGAACATCTTTGTCCTCTGTGTTCCTAGGAGGAGCTAGACATCTGTATTGCCTTCCAAAGGAATCCAATAGGAATCACCAAAGAAGTTCCAAAGATCTGCTGAAGTCTGTTCATGTATTGCACCACTAAATTCAATCAGGAAACTGCAGTTCTGAACCATAAGGAAGTGTTTAGCAATTGATGTGATATATAGAATTTACCAATTATTTGTATCAACACACTCAAAAGGAATAATCTGCATTTGTGGATTTGCTCTTCTCTTGTGTGCTCACTGTACTAGCGAACTAATGTGCTCTTTTTGCTCAGTCTTTCACTTACTGATGGGCTGCTTCCTTGCTATCGGCTCATTCTGCAGTCAATACAACCGTATTACAGTTAATACCACTGTGAGAAGTGAATTCCTCCATTGCTCTACCTCCAAGGTCCCAAACCTAAGCAGAAAGACATTCCATTTATATACAAGAAAAATTAGATAAATATTAATAAAATAAATTGGTTCAAAATATTTTCTCACCTGACATATTTTTAAATTATAGAACATACCCATTGTGATAATCAGCTTGTACAATATGTTCATGTGCAAGATATGGCAGCATTAAACACTTTGGAAAAAAAATAGCAATTGAGCTAAAGACTCATAGAATTATAGGGGTCCTAGAGATCAGTTTTCTCATTCTAGCTAAACCTAACAGTATCTTGATCTTGGAATTCCCAACCTCCAGAACTGTGAGAAATAAATTATTATTTATAAATGACTTGTTATAGTAGCACAAATAGACTAAGATACGTTCTTAGCTTATTTGGCTAATTTCACCTTGTTTAATTGGAGCTGGTAAAAGTTTCTTCTTCCTTTGGCTGGTGATCTTTCCAATCAAAAGAGTTTCACCAGCTAAGGAGCTATGGTGGGGAGTTGGGGAGTTTTACCCATTCATGCCAATTCTTAAAAGGTCCTTGGATCTGCCATCCATCCACTTATTGGCCCATCTGGGTGACCATGGTAGAGACCATCACTTCCCTGTGGGATGCTGTCATGGCCTTATCTCTATGGATTTCCATGTGTGGGATCTAACTTATCTCTTCTTCCAAACATCCTACTAGAATCAGTGGCTACCTGATGTTTTCATTAATTCATGGACTAATTGAATAGGTACTAGGTGCCAGTCACTGAACAAGGGCCTGATGGGCTGCCACCCAGAAGGCGCTCAGTAAAGTATTTATACATTAATGTGTTGATAATAAGAGAGATGGTATAACAATGAAAACCATTGTTTGAACATGGTACATTGTACCATAAAACAGTCATGCCCTTAATATTTCCATGTAATTTGCCAAATCACTTATTGCTTCAAGGAATTATTTACAAAGTGAAAATCAAGAAATGAAAAATGGAAAAGATGACACAGAAACTTTATGCTGCTCAAGCAGAAAAAAGAAATGGGAATGATTAATTATAAAGGACAAGTAATAATATCCTGGAATTGTGACTTTAAAAAAGAAAAACAGTGTCTTGAGGGAATAAACAAGAAGGGAATAAAATTTCTACTTAGGAAATAACTATGTGCTGAGAATGTCCTTGGTTAAAAAATTTGGAAAAATGTACACTCCAAATATCAATCAATAATCAAGAATATGATGTCAGCCTAATTTTTAACTTTAATGTTTTAAAACTTATTACTCTTTTTTGGATTGTGTATTTGTGTTTACTGTAGAAAAGGGTAAAAAAGACACTCTCTCTTGGTTCTTATTTTTCCCCCTTCCCCTGCCCTCCCTTCAATTGTATCTGTACTATATATATATTTCTTTTTTGTTTGTTTGTTTGGTAGCAGGGATCGAACTTGGGACCTCCCGCTTGCAAGGCAGGTGGTAGAACCACTGAGCTAAATCCCCAGCCCTAATAAAACTATTTTCATGGGTGTATTACACATAAAAGAATTTTAGAAGTCAATTCTTAGCATGTAGATAGATTCTGTCACTGTTCATTCAAGATTCGTTTAGGCATTTATCATTTATGAGAACAGTCTGGGCTAGACACTCAGAAAGGTATTGCATTATGAAATTAATAGAATATAGGCCCTGCCCTTAAAGTATTTACAACTCACAATAGGGAAGGATCGCAAAGGAGTCTGGGTTTTAGTGCTTCAGAAAAAAACCTGCTAATTGGCTTGACATTGATGAAGCTGGAAGTTCTTTAAAATATACTCTCTTAAGGGATAGGGATTTGGCTCAGTGGTTTCGCCGCCTGCTGTGCAAGCGCAAGGACCTGAGTTTGATCCCCGGTACCAAAAAAAATAAAATATCCTCTCTTAAATTTGGTTGGGGGGAGAAGAGGGGGAGAGAAGGGTACTGAAAATGATTAAGATACGTTAAACACGTATATATGTACTGAATCCCCAAAAGGAATGTAAACTTCATGACTGCAAACATATACCAATACAAATTCAGATTATAATATTTATGCTTCTGCATAAAGACAAAGCTAAAACAAAATTTTCTTTACAAGTTTACTTTTATTCACCCAAAGAGCAAAACAGCATAATGTAATGCTATGAATCAGGGACGGGCGTAGAGTAAGGCAGACGGGTTTCCCAGTACAAAATTTAAAGAGGCACTGATGTTCAAGGTCCTGCAAGTGAGTCAGTTTTAAAAAGGAGCGGCCCTTTAACTCAAGCACCTATGGATCTGCTCTACCTCACCTTAGTTCTGGCCCAGTTATGAATGTTTAAGAGAATAATAATTTTGTGTTACACATGGTTTTGTATACTGGGCACACTGTAACACATGCTTTACAAATTATGTCTGGTTTATCCAAAGCTGAACTGTGAGATCATGAAGGGAATGTTTACCTCTGCACATCTTCTGGGAGGACAGGGTAGGTATGAAGGGGACAGAAGAGATGAACCCGAAGTAGCCTATTAAAATGATTGTCGAGTTAAAAGCTTCCTAGTATTCTTACCTATACTGTTCTATTATTTATAAATATTAACTTATTCCTTTGCTGACTTCAAATCACTTCCTTATTGGCACCTTTCTAAGATCTATACAAAATGAACTAAAAGAACATGAGTAAAGCAACCAGATAACTTATAAGTGCATATCAATTCTCTCAAACCAGACCACTTTGCAGTTTAGAACCTGAAGATGTTGCTTAGTCTAGTACTGATGCTGATTCAGAACCAAATAAATTTGGGATCCACAGGAATATAACTTAAGAGTTGAATAGAGAATTAATTTAGAGGTCCTGAAAAAGTTTCATATTTAGGCACATTTTAAAATATGTAAGTGATACTTCAGATTTAATAGGCATTGCCAGTAAGGGAAAAGGTTTTCCTATTAGATCAATGTCATAAGAAGTTGAAATTCTTTCAAGTTTCACTGAACCTGGTAATATAATGTTCAATATCAGGGAAGATTGTAAAGAAGCTTTTTGAGAAGTTTGAAGGAAAAGAAAAGTATTTCTTTTGTTGTTAGCTTGATTCTACTTCCTCTTCTTTATACTTTTATTTTTTGGGGAGGGGTGTTAAGAGCTGTCATCCAACTATTTTGGGTCCATGGTAGATTTCTTCTTTCATTTCGCTATGAAAAGGAAATTTGGGGGCTGGAGATTTAGCTCAGTGGTTCCTCTGCCTGCCTCGAAAGCGCAAGGTCCCAAGTTCAATCCCTGGCACCAAAAGAAAGGGAAATTTTTTTACCTGTCAAAGTGTTAAGTATGAGAACTAAGAATTTCATATATAGCTCTCAAAAGGGCCTAGAAAAAAATTGGTTTTGGTTGTTACTTATTTATAAAACTATTTTGTATGGCCCCTAAATGAAGTTTTGTACCAATAAGCAAACCAAATCATTCCAAGCTGCCATAAATGGTGATGTTTCTGTAGAAAGATGTTTGTGCATGGGACAATAAAAAGGCCGCTGTTGCTCTTAAAACAACACAACTGAATTCTCAGAGTAAACCATTTAAAATCATGAAAAAAATTTTACTAATTAAAAAATACAATTCTAGGAAAAATTAATTAAATAAAAAATAACACTAACTTAACCATCAAATGTCTATAATTACAGACTAGTTTTTTAATTATAATTCTTAATAACTTCAAAAAGCTTAAAACAGCAAGCCAAAACAAGTTAAAATTTTAAATTTGTAATTGAGTTAACTGAGAATATAGTTAAGTAGTACCACCATGCTTCTAAATTCTCCCCCAAATATAATCCCCAGAACTCTGAAACCCCACAACAAAGTAAAATCCAAGCTTATAAAAATAACGTTCATGAAGAATACTATTCTTGCGAATAATGTTACTAAAAATTTTCTGTGACTGTTTTTCTATGAAAACATTTATCAAGAAATCCCCAAATTCATTTCAGAGCTAGAGTTAATGCAAAAATGCATGTATACATTCATTATACTAACCGTTTTCTTATTTAGATGCCATAGAAATAATTTTAAAACATGCATTGGCCTGCAATTTTCACTTTAGATCAACTAGTCAATTTATGGTGTTAAGATAAAGATCTTAAATTACATAATCTCATTTTTTAAATTTAACTCTGCAATTTAAACTTACAGTTATCTGTCTCTTGAGCAAATAATTCAGATAAACATCATCCATGTAAACTTTTCTGCATGTTTTATTGGATGATTAGGCTCTTTGAATCATCATGATGGATGTCACAGCTATAAATCCTAACAGCCAAAAGATATTTGATAACCTAAATGAAAAGAGCAAATTCCTTGAATGATATAATCTGTCAAAACTCTCATAAGAGACAGAAAATGTGACTGGGTCTATAGCTATTAAATAAATTGAATCAATAATTAACTTTCTAAAACAGAAAGCACCAGGCTTGGTAGTATGATGGTTCACTGGTGATTCTACCACACATTTAAGAAAGAAATTGTACCAATTCTCTACAACCTCTTTCAGACAACAGAAGCAGGAGGAATACTCTTTAATTATTTCAGACTAGCATTACCCTATTACCAAGCCACGCAAAGACATAAAAGAACTACAGAGCAATATTTCTCATGAACATAGATGCAAAAATCCTCAACAAAATATCAGTAAATTGAATCCTACAATGTATAAAGAATTATACATTAAAACCAATTGGGATTTAACTTAGGTCTGGAAAGCTAGTTTGAAAATTAATGAAATTCATCACATGGAAGTCTGAAAAAGGACAATCACATTATCATATCAATAGGCTCAGAACAAGCAAGTGACACAATCCAATACTCAGTGATGATCAAAATTCTCAGTAAACTATAAAGAGGGGAACTTCAAGTTGATTAAAAAATATCTATACAGACCCAATTGCTAGCATCATATTCAACAGTGAGAGATTGGAAGACTTCCTAGTAATACCAGGAATAAGACAAGATGTCCTCTTACCACTCCTTTTCAACACTGCAATGGAAGTCCTACCTATTGCAATGAAACAAGAAAAGGAAATAAAAGGCATACAAATTGGGAATGGAGAAATAAAACTGTCTCTGTTCACTGATGACATGATCATCTGCGTAGAAAATTGAGCAATCATAACAAAGTTGCAGGATACAAAGTTAATACACAAAAGTCCATTGTTTTCCTACACAACAGCAATGAACAAATAGTTTGAAATTCAGAACACAGTATCATACTAACACCAAAAAATAAAATATTTAGGAATAATTCTAAGAAAATAGATAACTTTTATATGAGCAAAACCATAAAACTCTGATGAACTAAATAAAAAAAATAGAAACATGTCACATTCACAGACAGGAAGACTCAATACTGTCAAGATGTCAGTTTTTCCCAACCCGATGTAAGGGTTGAAAACGATCCCAATCAAAATTTTAGCAAGTTATTTTTGAGGACGTGAACAAACTAAAATTTATATGGACAAGCAAAAGAGCAAGAAAAATTAAAATAATATTGAAAGAAAACAAAGTTGAAAGATTGACATTAAAGTTATCACAAAAATGTAGCATTGATGAAAGAATACACAAATAGGCAGACAATAAAATGGAAAGGAGAATATTTTTTAAATAAATAGTGTTGGAACAACTGGACATTCACATACAAAAAATTAGACATATTCATTACAAATATTAATTCAAAATGAGTCATGGAGCTAAATGTAAAACATAAAACTATAAAACTTCTAGAAGATATCATAGGAGAAAATCTAGATGATCATGGAATTAGCAATGCGTTTTTAAATACAACATCCAAACCACAATCCATGAAAGAAATACTTAGCAAGTTAGACTTCATTAAAATTAAAAACACTTAAAAATTTCTGCTTGGTAAAAGACACTGTTAAGAGAATGAGGAGGGCTGGGGATTTAGTTTAGTGGTTCCGTTGCCTACCTCCCAAGTGCAAGGTGCCAAATTTGATCTCCCGTAACCCCCCCCAAAAAGAGAGACAAGGCCCTGATTAGAAGAAAATATTTGCAAAAGATATAACAAAGGATGTAATCCAAAATGTACAAATAACTCTTAAAATTCAAAATAAGAAAAAAGCCTAATTTAAAAAAAGGCAAAAGATCTGGACAGATACTTGAACAAAGATAGGTAGCAAATAAGCACATGAAAAAATGTCCCACACTAGTCACTAGGGAAATGTAAATTAAAATGCAAAATGTGGGCTGGGGATTTAGCTCAGTGGTTCTGCCACCTGCCCTGCAAGTGCAAGGACCTGAGTTCGATCCCCGGTACCAAAAACGCAAAACCACTTCATACCTATTACAATGACAAAAATCCAGTATGACACCACCAAATGCTAATGAGGATATGGAGCATTTGGAACTCTCATTCATTGTCAGTAGCAATACAAAATGGTAAAGCCACTCTGGAAGACAGTTTGGCAGTTTCTTACAAAATAAACATACTCTTACTATATGAGCCAGCAGTACTCAAAGGAGTTCAAGAATTAGTTTCACACAAAAGCTGCATATGGATGTGTTACAGCTTTATTCATAACTGTGAACACTTGGAGGTAACTAAGATATCCCTTGTAGGTGAGTAGATAAACAAATTCTGGTACATCAAGACAATGGAATAGTGTTCATCACTAAAGCAGATGAGCTATCAAGCCAGGAAAAGACACGGAAGAATTTAAATTCACGTTACTAAGTAAAAGAAGCCAATGTACTAGCCAGGCATGGTGGCATATGCCTATAATCCTAGTCCAGGAGGCAGAGGTAGGAGGACTGGGAGTTCAAGACTAGCCTGTACTACCTAGCAACACTGTCTTAAGGGGTGGGGGTGGGGTACCTACTGTATGATTTCAACTATCTGACATTTTGAAAAAGACAAAACTATGGAGATAGTAAAAAGATCAGTGATTGCCAGGGGTCATGAAGAAGAAAGGGATGAATAAGTAGGGCATGGAGGATTTTTAGAACAGTCAAAAGTTTGTATGATACCTCAGTGATTGCTATGTGTCATTATACATTTGTCAAAACTCACAGAATGCACACCACCAACAGGGACCTATGCACTATGGGTGGTTATGATGAGTCAATACGGTTCATTAACTGTAACAAACATAGTGCTGTGGTGGGGAATGATGATAAAAGGGGAGGGTAAAAATGTAGGGCATGGGCATATAGGACTCTACTTTCTGCTGAACTTTGCTATGAACCTAAAAGTGTTCTAAAAAACTGAAGTCCATTAAAACAAAATCCATCAAGACATTATAGCAAATTTTAAAATAATTTTTATTTAAAAATAATATATATGTTTTATCTCATAATTTTAAAGATACATAATTACTTATATATAATGCTTTTAATCTAGTTATCCATTGCCATGAATCCTTTTGGTCCCTGAACCTGCTTTTGTTTCTTTCCCTTAGGCTGGGTACAGAATGTAACTGTCTCCATAGGGGAAAGCAAAACTAATTAAGGCCGGGGATTTAGCTCAGTGGTTCCACTGCCTGCTGCGCAAGCGCAAGGACCTGAGTTCGATCCCCAGTACCAAAAAAAAAATTAAGGATGCTAGGGAGATCTGTCGGCAGGTATCTCTGATGATGCTGAGAGGCATTCGGCACCATGAATATGTTATTCAAACATAAATGAAAAAAAACTATATGAGCGATCTTCATGTGGGGCTTTATATTAAGACCTATTTCATTATTACTATAGATTTAACAACTAACAAGCTACACCCAAGATACTTAATTACACATGAGTCCTCTATGGTATCATCAATATCCAGCTTCAAGTTTCCATTCTTTAAAATATTTCTCCATTGTGCTCCGAGATTTCCAGGTGCCAATATTTACAGTAGGAATGATTTTCTGAGGCTTCAGCCATTGGACAAAACGTTTCATTTCTAGGTAGCTGCTGTGTTCACTATAAGGAATGCCTGCAAGACCAAAGAAAAGACATTGCCTATTAAAAAATCAAACTAATAAACTCTCAAATATAAAATAAAACAGTAAAGCCACCCAGACTATTGTCAAAAACTCCTTTGTGCTTTTAGTTCTAAAAATAACTTCATGTCTTTTATGGATAATAAAGACTAAAACATTAAAATGACATAAAACTTACAATATTTAAACACCTATTACTTTTCTATGTGTTTGGCTAATAATATGCACTCCTAGACAGTCCAATTTATTTGGCATTTTCTTCTTTTTAAACAATTCTTCCCTTTAAACACTTAACTCAGCTATTGATTTTGGGAAAATCTGGAAGAAATCTGAGTAAAAATGTAAAGAATAACAAACAAGAGACTCTTGATTTCTAGAGCAAACAAGCAGATTCTAGTCCCAAGATCCCAGAAATCCCTTTATTTTCTTTAGTAAAGATCAAGTACCATAGAGAAAGGTTGGAACAGTCTTAAGTAAGCTAGGATCTTCAGAAGCTAATGTGAGTCACTGGTTTAAAGTCACTAAACATGTTTCCGTTAGCCATCAGTGTACTAAGCTGGTTGGAGGGTAAACGTAAACTTCCTCCAGGGGATGAAAACACCAAAGTCAAGTATGTTACTCCTTCTGTCACCTCAACTAATCATTCATCATCTTCCTGCTTGTAAGCTCAGGGCATCATTTAGATTTCGTTATTTTTTTAAGACCTCCAGTATTAAACCCCAGTATCTTCACTTCCAAATAATTCTACAATTTCCTCTAAGGAAATTACAGGAATGAGATGATCTGTATCAAATGTTTATCTCCTCCTTTGTATCAGCTTACAATGGGCCAGATAGAGGTTTAGAACTGTAGTGAGATTTGAAACTCGAATTGTTAAATTCTTTAGTGCCTGCTTTTCTTGTACCTCAGTTTTTCAACACTTTTTTAAGACATAAAGTAATTATCAACATCAAAAGTGAGAAGAAAACTTAATAACTATACCATATATTGAAATATTTCCTTTGGTCTGAGGAGTAACATCTGCTATGCAAGTTAACTTATTAGAATGGGTCCATCCTGTAGGTCGAAAAGCCAAAATCTGGTCATATTTCTCACCATACTTCTTCAAATGACTTTGTAAACTCTGTTAAATAAAAATAGCATAATGATTTAGCAGTAAGGGAAATGAGTTATATGGAATTAAATGATTAAAGATGTTATACTAGCATAGTCACGGGAAGTTTTTACTTGTTAAGAATGGCTTGCAAAAACCTAGTGCCATATTTTTTAAAGAAATAAAATCCCTGAAAAAAAACCTTCACTCATCTAAAGAAGCTTCAGTATTGTCTGAAAAAAAAGTACAATGGAAAAAAAATACAAATAATTATGTATGAGCAAATTATGGTTCAGATAGCTTAAAAAACCCTCTCCAAATCCCAATGCACAGAGACTAATATTAACAATGGTAAACATCAATGCAAACATGACTCTATGCATATAAACTCACAGAGGACTGAGACACAAAGAATTTTATAAGGAGATTATACTCAGCAACAGACACACACTTTAATGATGCATAATAGCATTCTTCTCAGGGATTTATTCCTTTTAGCCTTTTTGACATGAGCTAGATTCATTTTCAAACTCTTCATACCACTACAATTGGAAGTACTACGCTCCTCTCATAAATTTTGAATAGAACTTCTCCACACTAAAGTCATGATTGATGATGACATTTGATAAAACTCAGAAAGTCAATGACCAAAGTTCAGCCTTTGAAAGCTAAGAGAAATCCAATTAAAGATAACAGTGCTATAAGGGATTAAAAAAAAACCCAAAATCTAATACTTTTGGCTTTAAGATTAAAACCCACAGTTTCAAAGGCTTAGAATGAATTAATAATAAAACTCACTTCACTGATGAAATAACAATCCTTTGATTTCTCTTTTGTATCAAACAATAACCTTTTATTAATTTAAAGCCAATACAAGAATATCTACCACAAAACAATCATATTTCTAACTATTAGGCCTATCAGAAGAAAAAAAACTTGGATGCAGAAGTTTCCATTACAGCATCCCTGGCTCTGCGAACTTTCAGGTCCTTGTCCTGGTAAGTCTAAGCTCCACCTGATGTACCATTAGTTGGTTAGTTGCTATTCTTTTGCACCTTGGCCTGACAGATAAAGGAGGTAACAGGAGACTGTGGTTTAAAGCAATTATGCATGAAATATCATAAATTCAAGAGAACAATTTTCAAAATACGCCATCAAATCTATCCATTCCCATTTCTCTTCAAAAGCATCCAGTAGTGGGCTGGGATGTAGCTTAGTGGCAGAGCACTCTGTCTAGCATGCGTGACCCCTGAGTTTCATACCCAGTAACACAAAACATAAACAACATGGGAGAACTAAATACCCAGGGGAATTAAATGACAATTACTTTTGCCTTTTATGAGATAAGTTACAGTTACCACAAAAACATCATGTGGCATGGGGTAATGCTACAAACAAAAACTTATGAGGTTATCATATAAGCCAAACCTACAGAAAAGACTGCCAACAAACCACTAGTTGTCCATTTTCTACAATATCAGAACTACTAATGAGAAAATTTATTATAAACAGTTTAGTCAAAACAAAATCCCTAATCTATGACTGTTTCAGTTTACTAGCAACAAGTTTATGAGAAAAATGCTTTTGGGAATGTTACTAGACATTTTTTTCAGTATGCAAATCAGCATCTATAGCATTATTGTTACAATGTTTTAACACATTCAGTCAATCGGGTCTAAATGAGAGGTAGTAGTCAACACATACAGGACTCTGGGATGAAACAGCACAAATGTTATTATTGATAGCATTTGAAAGGCTTTAAAGAATGCCTTGGACACTCTGAAAACTGTAATTAAGTTTATCTTTTCATAAAAAGTCATTACCTCTGCAACAAAACTATTTTTGGCTGGTAAAAAAAACTATAATTACTAACTGAAACATAACATTATGATAACCATCAATTTCCACTATATCTGAGTTTTTTGCTTTGTTTTGGAGACAGGGTCTCTGCTCAGGCTGGCCTCGTACTTGTGATGCTCCTGAGTAAAGGACCACAGATATGTGCCACCTCTAGTGGTACACTACATCCGTACTTTGAAGATTAAGTAATCTTCAAAGAATGTGATCAATACTTGGTCACTTTAATAGAGGAACGAGAGGGTCTGTTAAGTATCTGCTCTAGCATTACGCCCAGAATGTCAGTGTAGCGGAAAGGGAACACAGATGTCACCTTCTAGAAGCTTACAGCCCAGTGGGCAGATAGCCCATAAGTCCCACCTTCTGGGTCTTTTCCAATGGAACTGTCCACCTCCACAGCTTTTTTTTTTTTTTTTGGTGGTACTGGGGGTTGAACCCAGGGCCTTAGCACTGAGATACATTCCCAGATACATTCCATTTTCATTTTTAGAGTCTCACTAAGTTGCCCAGGTGGGGCTTAAACTTGCAGTCCTCCTGTCTCAGCCTTGCAGAGTGCTAGGATTATAGTTGGGATAATGCATTATAGTTGTACATTCCTGGCTCTACCTTTTCTTGGCTTTCTCTAATTCTGATCATTTAGGAGCCTTAAAGATGACCTTTTCACAAAGGACTCATTTCTTAGTATAAATTCCTAGAAGTAGTAAAGTACAAACTTAATATTAAAAATACAAACTTAACACCAGATCATCCCTTTTCCAAGGACATTACCCATATGTATATACAAAAACTTTGGTTTTCAAAGTGTTCTGCTCATAATGCAAAGCACTTGTGTACCAAAGCAGTGAGACGGGGAGAGACAGAGAGAGAGAAAGAGAGAGATCTAATTGTGATCATGTGATGTTTAGCACGTCATACCACTTTTATTGCAAGACATCATTTGTTTATCAAGTTAAAATGCCTAGAAATGTTTGCTTGCCTTGCAGAACACTCATGGACCAAGTTACTCGCAATCCAAGGTTTGATTGTGTGTACATATATACAAATGTAGTGAACATTTCTTAATCATTAAAAACAATTTGAATTGCATAAAAACTGTACTTGAGCCTTCAATTGTCTGAAGCTTTAATTCTTGTTTTAGTTTGCAAATATATGATCTCTAAAGAAGGCCATGTGTTAGAGAGCTGTAAAGTCATATGTTGTGAGGGAACTGTCAGAGAGGAAGAGGTGGCCCTCTTCCTGCTTCATGGTGATGAATCTCTTTACCTGTGTTCCAAATCCTGCTCGGAAACCTTACCTCATCAATTATTCATCAATTATTGCCTTATCTCCTGTATTTCAATATCTCCCTATTACTCAACATAAAAATCCTCATTTCTAATGATTAAACAAAGCCCTTCCTGGGAACCTCCCTCAGACCATCAACATTATCTGGTCCTCTTCACAACCATGTTCTGTGCTTCTGCTCTCCAACTTCTCACTTCTCGTTTGTTTTGTTTTCAGCTTCAAGGACCACTTTCTTCCTAAGTGCTCAATGCAGCAGTTTTTAGAATATTCACAGTCATGTAACCATCACCACTATCCGATTCTAGACCATTTACATTATCCAAAAAAAAAAACCTGGTACCATTGGCAGACATGCTCCACTTCCTCTCCCTCAAACTTTGCAACCACTAACCTACTTTCAGTCTCTACAGATTTATATTCTGAACATTTCACATGAGTAGAATCATACCATACATATCCTTTGGTAGGAGCTTCTTTCACCTGGCATAATGTTCTCAAGGTTCATGCATACAGCAGCATGTGTTAGAACTTCATTACTCTTTATAGCTGAAAAGTATTGTTTTATGGTTATGTCCTATTTTATTTATTCATTAATTATTTTATAGGCACCTAAGTTGTTTCTACTTTTAGATAATGCTGCTATGAACAACCCTAGAGAAATTTTGTGTAGACATACGTTTTCAATTTTCTTGAGCATATGCATAGGATTTGGATTGTTGGGTCACATGGTCATCCACATTTAACTTTTTGAGGATTTACCAAACTGACTTTCCTTACTCAAGCAGTAGACCTAAAACATTCTTTTTTTTTTAAACACAACAGGTATTATTGATAAGGCAAAGAGAGTAATAAGCATCCTATTTCAAAAAGCTCCGTAAGAGTTACTTCATGAATGTTATACGAAAAGTGAAAACGAATTTCTTTGTGCATTATGTTCTGAATCACATTTAACACACAGGTTTGCTATATTTCATTGCCAGGGGTCAAAATGTTAGTAAATGGAATAAACCTTAGTGCATAAGTAAATCTGACAGATAAGGCCCTAAATCACAGTTGGGTCATATTGTACATGTCTTAGTTTATACCTTGGAATTAATCTCAGCATCTACTCCCACTATTTCATTTAATCTTCAGAATGAGTACATTTTCAATATATGCCAGTGCTGCATTGGCTTAATATTAATACAGAATGGAATGATCCGAAGAAAAGTAAGTATTTAGAATTCTTCACTCATTTCCCCACTCACTCAAAGACTGGAAAATGATCTGGAAATGGAAGGTTTGAATGATCTTATTGCTAGATACTTTCCTACTTTTGTTCCTTCCTGAATGGCAGTTTTCTAGGTCCTAAGCTCCTGGTAGGCATATGAATTATTCTGAAGAGCTGTACACACAAAAAAAACTGTAAAGATTAAAAATTCCCTTGAAAGACTTTTAGGGCTAATTTTACCATAAATGACACTCCGCTATAATAGAATTCCTTGAAGGTAAATGCGGATTAATTGTGATTCCAGTTTACAATCTCAGATTAGCTTTTCTGGTCAATCCTAAAAGCTATCTCTTGAATGCTTACCTTAAAATTAATTTGCATCATTGGGAGAAGGTGAACCAAAGAATTGCACATGTCTGTAGTGATGAGGGAATTAATTTCTGATATATTGAGGCAGCGTAATGTTTCATATTTTTCCTTGGACATGCCCACTTTTGAACCTAAAACATCAGCAATGGCTATAGACAAAGTAAAAGTTTAAAAATAGTAAAATGATGGCTTGTGAAAAAACATCAAGTTGCAACTTCAATTTTAAAATAAGAATTTATCACATAAAAGCAATTTCAAAACATTCGCACTTATACCATAGTATCTTTAAATGGTTGAATCATTTTATTGGTTAACTATGTGGACTAAATTGAGAAAAAGCCAAGAAATTTATTTTTAAAGGCCTATTGTAGAAAGGTGTAGAAGGAAAGGAACTAAATTTGAGAAAGTTAAAACCCTGGCCTAATCATTTCATATCTCAACATTTGACATAATGCAACCATACTTAAAAAAGAAACTGGAGGTATTATGCAAAAATAGTACAACACTCTCTAGACAAACTAGAAACAAATATATACAGACATTAGTGAGGTACAAAAATTAAAACTGTTCTATAAAATAATTGATGGTTATCCATAAAGAATAATGCACCTATGCTTTGATCATTTTTCAAAGATAATTAAAATAATATAAAGTGGACATTTGCTTTTAAACATAGATTGTAAAGGCTAAGATAAACAAATTTATCAAATATTTTTAAAAAGCCTTTCAAAGTTTAAATGCACCAAACCCACTAAATTTTCCTTTCACTTCAAAGGTAACATTGAATAATTTCAAGATATAAATTTCAAATGTACAAGGAGAGACTGATGGGGCTTTATGCAAAAAGAATCTGATCTTTATAATATATTAATGTAAATTAGATACAGCTACCACTCACCTAGGAAGACTTTCTCTTTTCCGATACAGTAAGTGCCACAGATAATAAGAGCGCGTGGGTTTAGGGTTACAGCCTCAAAGGCAGTGTTGATGGCAAACTGGATGACCTCTTGCTGGGATGGAAAGGTGTATTCTGGGCTGCAATATCTGTAATACAGAAATATGTACTTATTAAAAGAACAATAAGAAACCTATAGCGACTGTAGCTCTAACCTGGATATTATTTTAAAAAACAAACTTAAAAATTATATACAACAGCAGTATAATATATTAAAATAAGTTATTTCACTGGAGTTAAAATGTTTGTTAGCAGTTTTGCTAATTTATGATAGAATTATTATAAGTTTTCAATATATCTTTTTAATTATATTTCTTTTATCAGCCTCAAAAAAATGCCCCTTGGAAGACCTTTTTTCCCTCCAAGAATATGTATAGCTAGTCAGCTCTTTTAGCCATGGATTATAAACCTTAATATACCTTTTTAAAAACTCCAATCAGTATATAAGAAAATCCTACTGAAAAGGATTATATTTCAATTAAGGAATTTTGATTTAATACAAAATTGAAATAATAAAATTGAACATGAATTTGATGTAGTTTTTAATATTAATGAATATTCACGTGGATATCATCTCCTCTTACAGATACAGAAATAAATTTAGTATTATAAGAATACAATAGCTCCAATAAGGCCTAAATATAATAAAACCAAGTAAAAGATTAACCCTAAGCTACTTTCTATATATTTTTGATAAGAAAAGTAAGCACTATTTCACTAAAATGTAATAAACTATAAATACCAAATAAATATTTTTCCCAATTTTCAAAATTGTTTTTTTCTAGTCAAACACCAGGAAAGAGAGAAAAAACTCCAACTTTTCTACATAAAACACACACAAAGGGAATTTATTTTCTTAATTTATCTATAACTTAAAGTAGATATAAAAGAATGGAAAAACTACTTATTGTGAGAAAACTGGGTGGGGAAAGACTATCTTTTACTAAAATGTCCCATACAAACTTCTTTTTAATACAGTTTGAAATACTTAATATAATTCATTTTTAACAAATTGATGAAGTATTTTAATATACAATATTATACACATATACATATATAATTTTTACTTGTCAAGTATACCTTAATAAAGCTGAGAATATGTATATGTACTTAAAATATAATGGCTTATACCACTGTATATCACTGAGGATTTTAAAGCTGTCACTTATAAATTACCTTTTGGAGAGAAAAAAAAAGCAATTTTCAATACTCAGAATCACATTTTGGCCTTAGCTTTCTCTTCACAATTATTTGGAAGGGTAACCTAAGAGGGGTTTTCTCAAAGTTTCTCCCCCAGTTTTTCTCCCTTCTTTCAGGATTCAGCTATAAAGATTTTCAAAAATTAAAGCATACTCAATTAATCCAGCTGATACCAAATTGTCCTTTAGTGAGTGTATTTTTTTTCCGAACAGCATCCTTCCGATGAATAGCCTTGAAACAGTAACTGGCAAAAAGCCATCATCTTAATTACCCAAGCAAATGCTTAAATTATTCGTAAAACACAGAGCAAATGCTATCAATGGGCAAAAGAAGTACTCAAAGAAAGCTCTTACGTGGTGTCTAAGTACAGCGTGTGGACTTTCTGGCCTGCAAGAAGAGAACGCTCCATGCTGGGATCTGCTCTGAAGTCTCCAGTGTGTAATACAACAGTCCCATTAGGAAGGTAAAAAAGGACCATAGCAGCACCTGGACAGCTGAATACAAACACTTAAAGACATATTTGTTACACAGACAAAGCACCTATAGGAAGTGGTATTTCAGTACCAACAAGTTATGCATCTTATTAGCTGACCAACCAGTGACAACACTATACTACAGAGGAAATGCAGTATGTGAACTACAGGAAATTTACATCATAAAAAGAGGTGGTGTGCAGGAAAGAATTAATTGCCCAAGGGGTTGTTCAAACCCTGCACATTCCCAAGAAAGGCCTGTCTTCAAAACTCCTTGGTTGCCTCCTGAGAAATGAGATCTAAGCCCCTGGAATATTTTTTATGAGAAGAGTGTTTTATGTTTCTGAGGCATGGGCTAAATCATACCAGTTTGATCAGTAGTTTATACTAACTATGTGATTTATTGTGAATACCGCAATAAAAGTTGACTTAAAAAAATCAGACCTCAAGTTAAGGACCAAAAAAAGAAAGAGCAGCAAAGCTAGCTAATGAAGTGAAAAACAACCTGAAGTAACAGCGTTGGCCTGCATTTTAGGAAACTTAGGTTTAGCTTATTCCCTTCCCTAAGTATCTACGATTTCTACGGAACAGGGGACTAACAAACATTAGGAAAAGTAGAAAGAAGCATAGTTAAGGGTCATGTTGGGCAACATGAATGCTGATAATACTTTCCATTAAAAAGATGGGTGGGAGAAGGAAATAATTTTCAAGAAAAAATCTTCCAACTATTTGGTATTTAAAGTTTGAAAGATTTCTTAGTTTAAATGTAGCTGGTTAGAGGCAGAGGACCTCTGGTGTCTAAATGGGGCACAAATTATTAACTTATATATAAATAATATTAAAGAAAATGGCAAAAGGTTATCTGCACAGCAAGTTTTAATTTTTTCTCCCCCCTCCCTTTGCCAGTGCTGGGATTGAAGCCAGGGCTTTCATATTGGGCTATATCCTCATGTTTTCCCAGTTTTTTTTAAAGACAGGGCCTTGTGAAGTTGCCTAGGATGGGCTCCGACTCAAGATCCTACTTACTGCCTCAGCCTCTAGGCATGTGCCACCACACCCAGCTATTAATGTGCTTTAAAGAAATAAGCTGGAGTCTCATGTCAAGTGTAGCGATTTAATCCTCTAACATTTGGAAGATTTCACTACATTTAATCTGATTCTATAATTGGGTATGTTATTTTTTTCAAAAGTAGAAATGTTTTATTCAAATTTTAAGAAATATCAAGCATACCAATTTTAACAAAAAAGTTCTTAACCATCCCAATGTGTTTTCCTTTTGAATTTTTGAAAATAAGCTATTACTAAGGCAACTTAAATACTTACTGATTGGCATCAAGCAAAATGACTTTGACACCATTCACTATACATTTAGTGTCCATTGGCAACGGATGGATATATTGTTCTTGCACATGAAGCTTGCTCTTCAACAGATTGCCAGTTATCTGCAAAACAGGATGTGCTTATTGCTGATTTGGTAAAACACTAAACATAAGGTATGATTAAAAAAAATATAGCTAATGCTTAAATGTTTAAAAATGTATTGCATTAATCCCCCTCAAAATATACTCCCTCACTTTGATACACTTATACCATCATCTATCTCTTTCTGAAGCAGTTCTGGAATTCGTTTCTCATGTCTTTAGTTGCACTGTTGTGGCTGTCTTGATGTCTTGAATCGATTCAAAACATTTTCCTTTCATGGTCATTTTGACTTTGGGGAAGAGCCAGAAGTTGCACGGTGCCAGATGCTGTGAATAAGGTGGATGAAGACGCATCATGTTTTTATAAGCCTGCCTTTTTCCTGGATGGCACTCAACAGCCCCAGAAGGGAGACCTTCAGAACTGCTTCAGAAAGTGCCAAGAATGATACATATGTTGTGTTTGAAGCAAGGGGAACTACTTTAAGGGAAATTAATGACAATGTGTCTTTTATTATAATAAAATTTTTAATTTAAACATTCACTGTATATTTTGATCACCTCTGTATAAGCTATTTTTAATATATAAATAAAAAGACAAAAAGAATTTTAGTATTGTATTCTACTTTTGTATAGAAATAAAAAGACAAATTGACAAATTATATCTATTTAAAAAATGTTAGCAGTGTTTTCTAAGTAAGGGATACATTAGAAAATGTTAGGGATCTTGATCACAGTTTGTATTATGTTTTAATTCCAGTTTAGAACCATAGCATCTGAATAATCTCCCTACTTTCCCAGTTTGTTCACATAAACCTTCAGGGACAACAAATACTTCCTAGAAGGACAGTGTTATTCTTCTGCTTAAACACTGGCCCTCTGTCACCAATAAAATGCTCATCATTCTCAGCATGATGCACGAAATCCTGTCATATGGTCCCAACCCATTGCTGTGGATTTATCTCCTGTGCTTCCCTACAGCATGTTCCAGCTTTTCTAAATTTTCTGGGTTGTTTTTGTTTTTAATACATGGTCTCACTACATAGTTCAGGTTGGCCTTGAACTCAGTATACAGCCCAGGCTGGCCTCAAATTCCCAGCAATCCTCCTGCCCCAGCCTCCCAAGTGCTGGGATTAAAGATGTACACCACCACTCCCAACCTGAATCTTTTGAAGTAAGTATATTTTTCAAGCTCCTTCATACAAATTCCACTCTCTGCCGGGTATGTTCTCTTCTCTTTCCTCTGTCTGGGAATCAGACAGACCTGCATTCAAATTTAAACTCTGCCATTACCTACTCTGTGACTTGGAGGATTCACTTAACCTCTCCGAACATCACTTCCTTCACGAAGAAAAAGCAGATACTTCATGAATGCTGTGAGGATTAAATCAAATTCTGACTAAAGCCCTTAGTAACAGGGATTTATCTCCTTTTAATAATTAGTTTATGGTATCTATTTCATCATGATAATCCCTCTCCACCCTAGTGCACAAAAGAATAAAGTAGTCCCAGGCACTCTATTTATTTTTCTACTAATATAAATCCCAGTTGGTGTGATTTGTGAATGTTTCCCCTGGAGGCTGTAAATTCCTTGAGGTTAGTTATTTAGTCTTTTATATTTATTTAGGCACTCAAAGAATGTTTCCTGAAGGAAACTGGTTTTTTTAGTACATCATGAAAGTTCATCTGCTCTTAAATAATAAAAATGTTTTTTAAAAATAGGTTGCAACCATTGACATTAACTCATTTGATTTTAGAATCGCGATGTACAATCTGTTTTCTCATCTTTTCTAGTAGAATAGTCTTACAGTTTTAATTTTTTTTAATTAAATGTCTTAGAAACTCATACCACTCTACACAGTCAGAATTTAGAATACTCAAACTTACCTCACTACAATAAACTGGAAAGGTAGAGTTTTTGGACAACCCAGCATAGTGATCAGAATGAAAATGTGTGAGAAAATATGCCGTACAGCCTTCAACTTCGCCATACTGAAAGGCATCGACAGTAAAGCCAGTTCCTGCAATGCAAACACCAACACAGTAGGATGAGAAGGGCCAACAAAGACAACTGGTGGGATAATAAATACTGAACCCTCCTCCTCCTTACACCTCCTCTCCAATTTTACTATAATTTATTTAAAAGGTATGCTACATAATACAACAAAAGGTGAGAGAAAGTCTTGTTAAGTTTCTACGAAATATCTTACTATACAGATTTTTTTGTGAATAACTGCACAAAAAATTAGTAAATATAAAAAATACTAAGCCACAAACCAACTACTTCTCTATTTTGGTTAATACTTTCACAGTTATTTTCTGGACACCTGAAATCCTCTGCAAAAGAACAAGAGAATATTGTAGAATTTCTTCTAAAACATTAATTCTCCAAGAGGCAATACTGATACACTTCTAAGGAGGCAAAAATGGTTGAGGGCCATAATAATCCTAAATCTTCCAAAAGTTTGTGACCTTCCAAAGGGCCACTATACAATAAAAGATAAATAGTACTTATATGGTCTGAATTTCATTGCAGGGTGGTAGGTATGGGGGTGGGGAAAATGCCTAAAAATGTTCCCTAAACCGGAAATAATGAAAAGAAGTTCTAAAATGTGTTCATGAGAAAACTACCAAGTGTGTTGACAGACAAGCTGCATGTATACAAGCACAACGTCACAGTGCTACTGAGGCTCTCGACACGTGGCATAAAGGTTTCAGGCTCACTTGAAGTACAGAAAATTAATCACAATAATCATTAAGAACAAAACTGGTGCTATTCTCCACACAAATTCTTTTTTTTTTTTTGGTAACAGGGATCGAAGACACAAATATTTTTAACAAATTATAGATTTAGAACACCAATAAAAGTTTTACAAAACTCTTTTGAAACCAAGTGTATTTTGGCCACTTTAATGTATATTCAGAAGTTACTGGTTTCTTCAATAATAAAATTCATTCCTCTATACATTTTGCTATCAAAACTCATCTTTGAAAGCAAGCAGTTACAAGAATATGAAAAAGCAAAGAAACTAAGTTCTAAAATGGTTTTTCAATGCTTGGCATTAATTGTGACAGATACAACCTGTTAAGATTCCCTTCTCTACAGTTATTTAGTATTCTCTTTGAAGCTACTTTGTATTTCTCACAAGTGTGTAGATACTGCCTTTTATTATATTTACTTACAAAAATGCTTTTCCTCCTTCTGAAGTATGTTTATTATGTGTTACTTAATAGACTTTCTAGTCTGTAATATCCACCTAAGTAGTACAGTAACTTGTGTAGAGTATGTTTAATCAAAGTTTGCTGAATTGAATGGAGAGGAAAAAAAGGAAAAACCAAAAACATAAAGGCTCATGAAGTATCATTAAAAGCAAATGCATACAGTACAAAAAATTATTTCATACACACACACATATCCATGGACAATGAACATGATGATCAAAAATTTTGTGTCTGAGGGCTGGGGATTTAGCTCAGTGGTTCCATCGCCTGCCTTGAAAGCATAAGGTCCTGAGTTCGATCCCAGTTACCAAAAAAAAAAAAAAAAAAAAATTTGTCTGTTGATACATTGAGCACTGATATTCCAACTTACCAGGTATTTTCTTATAGAATGGACAGGTCCTTTGTCTTAATTCCCCTGCATTAGATGACTGTGAAACCTTCGTGTTCCCTCTTTGCAGCCTGCCAGGAGCTGATTTTATGAAGACTTTATCTTTACTTAACTTGACTGTCCCAGATTCTGCTTGTGTATTAATATAGTGTCCTGACTTCTGACGTGTCCCTTCCTGTGATTTTGACGTTTTTAGTCTCTTTCTTTGATGCTGTGACCTGTCGTCAGACAGTTCCACGGAGGACTGACTCTCATCTAAATTCTTTGCATCAAATTCTAAATCACTTAAAGATTTTTCTGCTTTCCTCTTGCACTGCTGGGGCCTCTTTTCATTAGGACTTAGGCTCATCACTTCTAATGCACTTTCCTCCGGCAACTTCTCTTCTTTTCTCTTGGGTGGTAATCCAAAATATACACCTATATCCATTTGCTTCATTACCTTGCTAAGATGTCTTGCATTACCTTTAGGACTAGAAGACTTAGCAGCAGTAGATGCACTAGATTTTCCTGTACTTAAAAGTGTAACTTTACCATCTGGCACACCATCTAACATCTTTCTGCAGACACATGCTGAGTTGGCATTGTTCTTAGCACAGAAGTTCTCATTTGATAATTCTCTAATTTTACTTTGGCTTGGATGCAAAGAAAGACACTGTTCTCCTTGACTTTCTAAAGATTTTGACAACTCACAATTGAGTAATGGGAGAGAAGCTTGACTATAAACAGCTGATTCTTCAATTGCCTGTTTCTGTTTATTTGACTGAGATGACTGAAATTCTGGCTCATCAGGTTTTGCTTTAGTGGTCTGACAATTAGAAGCAGGCCGTTCCCCTGCTAATGCAGGTGGAAACAATAGAAAATAATCAGTGAATGCTGCATCATAAGAGATATCACTTTCAGCTTGGGAGAGAAAATGAAATGAATCATTTAGAGCATTGCACTTACACAGTCCTTCACTGTACTTATCCTGAGTTAAGAAGCTATTCACTTTAGGGTAGCTTTCCTCTGGATTCTTCAGTAAATGACCACGGAGGTTTTTAAACACAGTAGAGCTTTCGTCATCTTCTAGGCTACCATCTTTAGAACTTTCAGTAAAAAATAGTTTCTGTTGTGAATCATCCAGCTTTTCATTTATATCATAAGTTTCCTCATCACTTTGAAGTGGAGAATAGGAGATTTCACAGCTGCTGAAGCCATTTTCTGATAATGGTAGATCTGTGTGTTGTGAGGTGCTTTGGCCAACTGATTCTTTCCCAATAAGAGGCAAACCAACTCCAACCAGTTTGTCATTCTTAACAAATTCTTTAGGTTGTAGAGCTTTCTGGGAAGTATGAATATTTGTAGAAGAGGAAATCTTTTTATTGGTTTCAGTTGTAAGCTGAGATGTTTTTAGATTCTGTATCGTCAAGAAGGGATCATTGGAAACATTTTTTAAGTTTTCAGTTTGTTTCTGATGCAGAGACCATTTTTCCTCATGGGTAGGAGAAAAGGCTGGCTTAGTCTCACTGAAACATGTCCCATCTGGCACATGTGACAAGCCACTAACAGGATCGTTACTAGCTCTCCTTTGAGCAAGCAGAAGGTGAGTGTATTTCTTATAATGAGAAGGAATTGTTGAGGTACACAGAAGACCATCTGGACACTCTGAAAATTTTAATACAGAAAAGAGTATTGTAGGGCAAGCTCTGATGCATTAGCACCATAAATAAACCTGTAAGTACAAAACCATCAGTTCTCCTCTGAGGCTTTATGACAATAGCTATTGTGAACTGCACAGTAAACAAAAAAAAAATCAGCATTAAGATATTAACACTTAATCCAAAATGGTTTTAGAAAGTACTGGCAGCTGAACCCAGGGTCTTTGCTTTGAGCTACATCCCCAGCCCTTTTTTTAATGTTTTTTTTTGAGATAGGATCTCAAGAAGTTTCCCAGGTGGGACTCAAATTTGCTATCTTCCTGCCTCAGTCTCCCAAAGAGCTGGGATTACAGTGTGTGCCATCACACCCGGCTATTATTTATTTTAAAGTTAAATACTCTTTTATATTGCTCTTCAAATAATATTTTCTAAAAAAAATTGAGGTAACTTTAAAATATACAAATCGTTACAACTCAATTTCTATGTAGTCCAAGTAGAACTTTCCATATGCTAAATATGACACTTCTTTTAAAATACAATCAGAGCATTACTTGAGCTTTTTTGGCACATTTTTGTAAGAATTTTAATCACCTAAGATGCTTCCCAGTTCCTCTTCCTATACACTAGCATGAAAAATACATCACAACCACACTTAGAATCCAGAATGTATTTGTACTTTTCTATACAGTTCCCCAAAAGATAATAAATTGGGCAAGCTTTTAAACTTTTAAGAACCCTCATTTATTAAATGTCACTACCACCCACCTTACATGGTCATTGTGAGTCAAGTAAGCAAAAACAAACTGAAAGTACCTAACACAGTAAAAGGTTCAATGACTATTTATAAAAACAATTGAGATACTTAGGAACTTTTATGGAAAACCAAAATGTATTTAAACTGTTTTCAGTATAAATTTTCTTCGCGAATAGACCATTGACTGGTATAGTGTCTCAACTTTCTTCTGGTTTATTACTTGCCCTGCTGTTTCACTGAATAGGCTGACCTAATCCAAGACTTCCAGACTATTCGAGACCACTACCTTTTCTGTAATCTTACCTGTATCAGAGATGGGTGGAGAATCCAAACATTCAAAAACGTGCCATCGAGGGGTTTGACCTAACAATGTGGAAAAAGGCATCTGGCAGTTTGGACAGTGTCCATCATAAATTGGACGTATCTTTGGGGACACTTGTCTGTTTTTGTGAGTTTTACAGTGCTTTCTTGGAGTGGTCTCTTTGTCCTGGGACAACTGAATATCATCTCCACAACTCGAATTCTGACTAGAAGATACACTACTCTGGCTTTCTGTAAGACACATTTCATGGTCTTTCCCCTTCCCTTTAGCTTCTATAGTTCTTGGTTTTTTTCCTTTTTGTTTTGACTGGTATTTTCTATCTGCTGGTTTTTCAACAGATTTTGGGATATTCTCAGAGCAATTATTTGGATGTATTGGTTTTGGTTTTCTTTTAGATTTGTATTCCCAGATGTCTTCTTCCAAAAATGTGTCTTCTAACATAGCAAAAATGACTTTACCATTAAAGAGGCATTAATATTCAATAAATTGAGAGTCCATTTCTTGTTCTAAGTTTTTAAAATGGAATTCCTTTACTGAAAAAAGAAAGGTAACCAGAAACCTACTAACTTGATGAGAATCTATAGTTATGGTAATGACTATATTGGCAAACTACAAAAATTATACTTGAGAACACCTGCTGTCCCATTTATACCATAATAAAGTTACAAGAACCTATCACGGAGGTAGCAGTTGTAAAGTTTTTCACTGTGGCTATTTCATTCAGGTATTTTGGCTTTTTCTAGGACTTGATTTATAAAAACAAGAATCAATACTACTTTAAAAATTACGCACTACTGAGAAGTACAGATTCAACCACTGTCTTAAAACAAGTTTTGTGTAACTGTTGTGTGAAGCTACTGTCTGTTCTCTTTCAAGTGGACAGCTGTTCAAACAATTCACAAGTCCAGTTACAGCCTCTGGGCAGTTGGCTACCTCAGTTTACTAGTAAAACTAGTCACACAGTAATCAAAGTGTTGCGTGACTCTCCAAGAACCTAAGTGCCCTTCTCCGTGACTCGTAGGTAATCAACAACTTCAGTTTCTTCAATCAGTCCAGTGTCGTCCTCCCGCTTCACGGTACATCCCTGCGCAATGAACAAAGTTCAGACGCGTGAGGTCGGGCTCAGGCCGGGGTCCCACTGAGCCCCACTGAGCCCCACTGAGCCCCGCAGAGCCGGGAGGCTGCAGGCCCCATGCCGGACCCCTGCCGGCTCTGGCTCTCCCTTCTCTTTCGATCTTGGAGCTGCGAGGCCAACGACCAAGGCCTTCACCCTCTCCACGTTAAGCACAGCCAGCTCCAAAAGAGCCTCCAGAGCCCTCCCCTTCAGGAAAGCACAGCCGGGCGTCAAAGCCCCTCGTGGCCGCCACAGCACTCCTGGGCCCAGCTGCGTCCGCTCCCCTCTGCACCCCCTTCCCCGCTTTGGCTAACGGTATATTCGCGCTCGCACTTTCAGCACTCCCAGGTCACAAAATACAACCTTTGTGTACCAATCAAAGCCCTTCCAATTTAAAAAGCCTTCTCCCTGGAAGACACTGTATCCCTAGCGCCTTACCTCTTTTGTCTTGGCGGGAACCACTTCCCGCTGGCAGAGAGTGTCGAATCGGCTGATCCAGGTCTAAGAGGGGGGCTTAATTTTTTTCTTTTAAGTGGCCTACTGGTTTATTTTATTTTAGTTTTGTTCTAAAGCCTGCCAGTTTTCAAGGTGGAGGATGTAAGAATGGGTGCCACGGAGCCCGCAGAATGCAGCCCCTGAGGCTTCTGCCCTGTTGAATCTGGTGTTCTGAATGTCCAGGCTGGACCGCGGAGGGGCCTGGAAGGGGCGGGGTGGGTTGCGACAGTAGTTTAATTACGTGCCTGGGAATTGCAGCCATTCGGACTTTGGCATTCGATTGCATGCTTAAAAATCAAAAAACGTGTCTCCGGCGTAGAGTGGGGCTGGTGGGGGTAAGGCGGGGCACCGCGCCGAAGCCCTGGGCCCGCGCGCCTCCTCCCTGGGCGTCTTCTTGGCCAAAGCCTGGGCCCGCACAACATGGCGGCGTCCGGAGTCCGAAGCTGTGGCCTCTCGGGGCTGCTGCCCGCGCAGACCTCGCTCGAGTACGCCCTGCTCGACGCCGTCACCCAGCGGGAGAAGGACGACCTGGTCTACCAGTACCTGCAGAAGGTGGACGGCTGGGAGCAAGACCTGTCGGTGCCCGAGTTTCCGGAAGGTGAGGGCTGGCCTCGGGGTGGGGGCCACTCCGGGACCTCCCCTTCCTCGGGCTCGGCGCCCTCCCCGGACGGGGCGCGGTTGCGGGTGCGGGTGCGGGTGCTGGGCGCGCGTGCTGCGCGGTCCCCCGCGTCCCCGAGCGGCGACGCGCGCGGTGGGCTTCTGGAGGGCGGGGGCCTGCTCGGGCCTGATGTCAGCTAACAAAACTCGGAGAATGTTTGTGGCCCCGGTTGGCCGTGAAGGCAGTGTCCTCAGCACTCTGTCCCTTCAGTTGTTTCCCTGGAGCCGTCGTCCTCATCTCGTCTCTGCAGCGTCCTAGCTGACATTTACGGATCACTTTATACGTGCCAAACAGTTCTGAACACTTCAGGGGATATTATGTTGTTTAACCCTTCCTACAACTCAGTGACGTGCCCTTGTTCGTCCTGTTTTACAGTTGAGGAAAGCGAGGGACAGAGGGACTAAGAAACTTCCCAGCTGCTGTCTGGCAGAGTTGGATTACTGCTGTCTACAGCCCTCAGATTTTGCTGGTTTCTAGCTTTGCTGGTTTTTCCCATTCAGTATATTGAGAAACTTACAATTTAAAAAGTCTGAATCAATTAGAGCTTGTCTCCTGGGTTTGGATGCTGGCTGTGTGAGCCTCAAATAGATACTCCCAGCAGTGCAGTTTGAAATGAAACCGTACTTTACCTTCTTTGGTTGGAGTGGCATTGTTTTGCCTGGTAATGTTGGCATGTGTCCTGGTGTGATACTGAGACCACATGTATAGTTAATTGGTTGGTGGTGGCAGGGTTCATTTAGCTCATCGGAGGCATATCGGAACCTCCTCTGACAACAGTCTTGGGTGTCTTTCCGAGCCTTTTGTACTTGCCTTGAGAAGTCCTTATTTTTTCCATTACTAATCTTGTACTGGATTTGAAATATTGAGGAATCCTTAATCAAAAAGGGGGGTGGTGGTGGTGCATGAATGCTTATCCTATCAGACAAACTTCAAAATAGTACATATGTAGATATACACACACACTAGTGTACAGACTTTATAAAACCTTGCAAGATGGTAAATATTACGTACATGTATACATACTTTGTGAAAACATTGTAAAGAGATATATAGTACACTATTACACACAAGCAGGCCACCAGCTGGGATTTGGCAGTCTAGGCCGTCTCAGGCCTCCACCAGCAGTCTTGGAACATATACCTCATGGGTAAGGGAGGACTAATGAATTTACTTGCTCCACCCAACCCTAGGTTTCAGTAACTATGAAATATCCCTAAATACCTACTTCAAGGTATAATAAAGAATTTTAATAGCTACATTTATTTACCTACAAGCAAAAAACTTTGTTTTTGTAAGTTGTTTAAATAGGGATGCTGCACTTTTTTTTTTTTTTGGTACTGGGGATCAGAACCCCTGAGCTAAATCCCTGGAGGGATGCTACACTTTTAATATTTAATATTTAAAATCTTCATAGTACAGAGTTAAAATTTTGAATCATAGTCAAGTAATTATAAATTCTGATTTACAAAAGTACAGATTAATGAGATCCTATTTTTCTTTGGAGGGAAGGGAACACATTCTTCATTAATATTAATGTTGCCTCGGATTTTGCATTTAAAATATTTTGTATTTAGAGTTTCATCCAACTCCAGAATATTTCAGCTTCCTTTATATGAGATTGGCTTAGGCATTTTATATGTTTATCGTTAAATACATTTTGTTTTTTATATTTAGTTATGTCTTTTTTTTTTGGTACCAGGGATCGAACTCCGGTCCTTGCGCTCACGCAGCAGGCTGCGAAACCACTGAGCTAAATCTCCAGCCTCTATTTAGCTATGTCTTAATACTTTTAAACTCAGCTTTCATTTTCAATACCCAGTTTTACCTAATTGTATATGCAATTTCTTAATATTTGATATTTCCTGTTGTTTTTGCCTGAATGTGTTGTTTTACCTCTTTTCACATACAGGCAATTACTCTAGCTGTGAAAGAATTTAGTAGCTTTTCCTTGCTGTATGTGCAGACTGCCTCATACATAAAAGCAGCTTTCCCATCCTTTCTCCTTCCTACGTGCCCTCCCCTGTCACCCTTTCTTTCTTTTCATCTTTCCTCTTTGAACCTTTAACCTCTAACAGATGTGGCTTTTTAGTCTTTTCCTTCACATCACAGGTACCTATGTAATTATAATAATGAAGATACATCATGTCTTTAATTTCATTTATTTATTGATTAAAAGGCCAGTTCTTATAAATGAAATAAACTACCACAGACTGTAGTGCTATCATCTCTTGCGATGTTGGACTAATGGGGCCAGGGGTTTAGCTCAGTGGTTCTGGCGCCTGCCTCGAAAGCGCAAGGTCCCGAGTTCGATCCCCCGTACAAAAAAAAAAGATGTTGGACTGTTTGCAGTAGTACTAGAAAGAACAAAAATTGTAATGGAAAGTTTTAGGTAAATTGTCTCTGTCTTTACCTTTAATCATTATAATTTATTTTGTATAAATTTCAGGGTTAGAATGGCTGAACACAGAAGAGCCTATTTCTGTCTACAAGGACCTACGTGGAAAAGTGGTCATCCTTGATTTCTTCAGCTACTGCTGCATAAACTGTATCCACCTGTTGCCTGATCTCCATGAGTTAGAACACACATACTCTGATAAAGGTATCTGCTTTTTTATTAGTTTCTAACAGACTGTCATGGCATAGGCAGTGGAAGAATAGCTGGCTCATTTGCTCATAGGAGAATGAACATTAGCAAGACTTCAGTGATTCTAAAAAAAATCTCTAATCTATGAGTGTACCTTTGCATAAAGGGTTAAATTTAGGTTTGCTTAGCTAAAGAACCTGAATTTAGGACAAGGTTTACTGAGAAGGTAAAGGCATGAATTACTTTTTTCATGATCAGGTATTTTAAAAGATCTTTTGTTTCTCTGCTGTTACCTAAATTTGTTCTATGGAGGAAAAAAACACAAAGGAATATCCAACCCAAATTTTATACTCTTCTCACTGTGAAATGAAGGTTTAAAGTTCTTATTAGGAAATATGATGAAGCTTTCATTAAAATTGAATGACATGAACCACAGTACAGTGCAAAGTATTGTAAGAGATACTTTTTTCTTTGACTTGCTTCATTAAAAAAAGACTTACTACCATAAATGTTTTCCAAAGCACACTGGAGAATCCTCTTTTGTTGTACTAAGGATTCTGTAGTTGCAAGGGATTATGCTTAGTATTTATTTTATTAGTTTGAAAGAGTACTAGATTTTGTTTCTTTTTTCTAAAAATAATGGGAGTAAATGAAATTGATTAAAGGTTTCATTTAATTAGGTTTAAATTAATTGAATTTCTATTCTTGAACTAGAGACAATAGGTAAGGTCACTGATTCTGTAAGAGTAAGGACGGGATGGAGTCATGGCTCACGCCTATAATCCCAGCACTCCATGTACTATGAAGAAATAAAAATCTCAGTAAAGGAAAATACATGGGCAATTATAAAAGCTAGTACTGTATTATTGTAACAATGGTGTATAACTTCACTTTTTGTTTTCTACATGATTTAGTAGACCAATACATTTTAAAAATTAGTCTCTAAGCCAGTGGTGGCGAACCTGCATGCTGCAGTGGGCTGTTATCACTGAAAACTCTAAAAGGTTCACCAACAGTGGTCTAAGATGTGCGTGGTGGTACATGTCTGTAATCCCAGCACTCTGGGAGACTGAGGCAGGAGGTTCAGGCCCAGCCGAAGTGATTAAATGAAACTTTGTCTCAAAATAAAAAATAGACTGGGATGTAGCTCAGTGTGAAGGCCCTAGATTCAAGTCCCAGTGCTGCCCCCCCAAATCCAAAGCCAGTGCTATTTTAACTTCACTTTATATTGCCACACTTTGTTTTTGTATAATTTGAGAGACTAACATATTTGAAATAATTATCAGTTGATGGTTTTGGATACATAATGTATGAAGATGTTATTTTGAGACCTCAGCAGTTGGAAGGGGTATACATGGAACTCTTAATGTCAAATGAGTACTTTTTTTAGTGTTATTGAAGTTAACTTGGTAAAAGTTCACATTAGAGTGTTATGATTTTAGTGTTTAAAATGTAAGTACTGTGCTAAGCACAAAAAGTTGCAAGAGAATATACACAAAAGTAAATGAGAAAGAAATTTAAACATTTTACTACAAACAAAAGTCAACTAAATAGTAATGTTATATAGAAAATGAGGGACAGAAAAGCTCTGAAGTATGTAGAAACCAAAATGTCAGAAATCGGTTTCTCTTTATCAGTAATTACTTGAAATGTAATTGGATTAAGATCTCTAATCAGAAGGTGGAGATTTGCTGAATGGATACAAAATATCCAAAAACCACTCTCTATAAAGAGTCACCTTAAAGCCAAAGACATAAATAGGTTGAAAGTAAAAGGATGAAAAATATATCCACTGTAAATACTCTCCAAAAGAGAATAGAGGTGGTTGTATTAGACGAAATGTACTTTTAAATCAAAAAAGTTGGTTACAAGAGACAAGGTCGTTATATATTTTTAAAAGTTCAGTACAGCTAGGAGCTATAATAAACAGTTATGCATTTAATTACAGACTATCACAATATGTGAAGCAAAAATTGAGAGAATTGAGGCTCCCCTCAATTTTAGACAATTCTACAGTGGTGCTTAGGGAATTCAATAGCTCCTTCTCAATAGTGTTTAAAACAACTAGACAGAAGATAAGAAAATAAAGAATTTATAATAAACCAACTAGATCTAATAATATACATATACAGGACTTGCTATACAACATCAGATCACACAATTCTTTTGAAGTGCACATGGGAAATTTTCCAGGATAAACTATATGTTAGTCTGAGTATATTTTTAAAAAATAGGTATTACACAAAGTATATTCTCTGATTAGAGCAGAATGAAGTTAGAAATCAGTAATAGAAGAAAAAATGAAAAAATTTTAAATTGTGGCAATTAACATACTGTTAATCTGTGAACCAAAGAGGAAACCACAAGGCAAATTAGGAAAGATGTAAGATGAATGAAAATTTATGGCACACAGTGAACGCAGTGCTAAGACAGGAATTTATGCAGATTCTTACATTAAACAAGAGATATTGTATTTCAAATCAATAACCTAACATAACAGGAGGACCTAGAAAAATAACTAACTGAACCCAAAGTAGCAGAGAGAAGGCAATAATAACTATTTGAGTGGAGAGAAAGAAAATAGATAAATAACAGAGGCCCAAAGCTGATCTTTGAGAGTATCAATATAGAAACTTAGAGACTTAATTACTAAAATCAGAAAGAAAAGTGGGGACATTAGTACTGATTCTACAGAAATAAAAAAGAGTATTAAGAGACTGTGGATAAGACTAAAACAAGAATAAATAAAAACTGAATAAATCCATTATCTAGTAGCACTATGTATAATAGCCAAGATATGAAAGCAACCCAAGTGTTCTTTGATGGGTAAGGAAAATATGATTATGTGTACACAATGAACTATTATACAACCTTAAAGAGGAAGGAAATTCTTCTGAAAGCATAGATGAACATTGAAAGCATTGTGCTAAGTGAAGTATGCCAGTCCCAAAAAGGTAAATATGTATGATTCACTTACATGGAGTACTTAGAACAGTCAAAATTATAGAGATTGCAGGTGGAATGGTGGAGGCTGGAAGAGGGGGAGAATGAAGGGCTACTGCTTAATGGGCACAATTTTCAGTTTTTCAAGATGAACAGTTCTAGAGATAGATGGTGGTGATGGTTACACAGCAGTATGAATGTTTATAAAACTGAGCTGTGCACTTTAAAGTGGTTAAGGTAGTTTTATGTAAAATGGGGTTTAACTTTTAAAATGAATACAATAAGAACAAATTTGTGCCCCTCAGGAAAGGGTAGAGTAGGTGCAATCACCCTGACTCCTACAGTACACGTGGGCTTGTCATTTGTTAAATGTTAGGAAGTTTTATGCACCAATCAGGAGCTTGAAGTCTTCTGTAGTGGGATTATGTCTACCATGAAGTTACTGAATGCTACAAATTAAGGATGGAGGGGGGTTGCATCTCTCCCCCAACATCAAAGAACTAGTTTACTAGCGTGCCGCTCAGTATGATTTGTTACCCAAATAGTTCATTTGTTAGTGGCAGAATAGACTACTGACTAGTTTGATTTTCTGCATTTGGCTGTTCGAATATTGTTTGGAGAATAAATCTTAAACTCTTAAAAATACACTGTAAGTCATCTCAGTGTTATAATTTCAAAGAAATAATTGCTTCAATAATATTTTGCTGTATAAAAATCATGGAAACTAAAAGATTTGTAAGTTGTCAGAAGACAAGTCAACTCATATTCACAAAAGAAGACATACCCAGAGAGTATCACATGAAAGTTCAATGAGATACCACTGCATTAACTTTGCTTTCTTGGAGCTGTCTTCTTCCATTACTGTCTGATGTGTTTCTGAACCATATCTGGAGCAATGCTCTTTATGTTCTCAAAGTGTCATGTGGCAGTATATTTTAAATCCCATGCAATATTCATTCACTTCATTTTATCAGTAAGCCAGAAATGCTCAGCTTAATGAGGACGTGCTTATTATCTCAAAACACTTTGAAAGAGGCCCAGTTTAAAACCCAGACTCTTTCCTCTGTAAAACAGCTTTTAAACTGTTTTGCAGTAGTGACCAGTATCACTTTCACAATAGCATATGAGAAATGTTTGTGCATGATTTTGTGTGTGTGTGCATGTGTGTGTGTGTGATACAGGAGACTGAACACAGGGCCTTGACACTGAGCTACATCCCCAGGCCATTTTGTTGTTGTTTTGAAACAGGGTTTCTCTAAGTCACCAAGTTGCCTGAGATGTGGGGTCAAACTTGTGATCCTCCTGTGACGCTCAGCACTCCTAGAATGCTGGGATTACAGACGTGCACTGCCATTCCTGGCTAAAGCAAAATGCTTGATATAAATAAGTTGTTCTGATGTTTTAACATTTTTTGTAACTGTGCCCTAAGACTGTTACTAATTCATAATAATTAACACATTGTATTATATATTGTTAAGAACCTCAAGGGGTTTTTCTTTCTTTTCTGTTTGACTTTCTAAGTTTAACTTTTTACTGTGTGTAATGACATGTGATTATGTAGTACCCAAATTGAACATAACATTTATCAGAAAACATTCATTAGGAGTATTTGTATATTTAACATGTGATTGGCAAATATAACTCAATCAGACTTGTAAAAACCCAAATATCATGTTATTGAGTAAATGCTAGTATTTTCATCATGTAATATATGCATTCCCCCTGTTTTATATTTTATGAAACACCAGAATATACTTCTAATTTTATAGTAAAACTAGGCTTTTAAATGAATTGGTATCTAATTTCATTTTGTTTCAGGGCTCACAAAACCACCCCTGTTCAATATTTCCTTAAGAGTTACAGGATTCAGCACGTAGTTAATACTCATGGCTGTAATTTATTACAGTGAAAGGATACAAAGCAGAATCAGGACAGAGAAAAGAAGCATGGAGCTAAGCCCAGGGAAGACCAGGCACAAGATTCCAGAGTCCTTTGTCAGTGGAGTTATACAGAACACACTTAACTTCTCCCAAAAGGAGTTGTAATAGCACATTTGAAATGTTGCTAACCAG